ATTATTATTACTATTACTATTACTATTATTATTGTTGTTTTAAAAGTGTATGTTTGACACTGAATATAAACTATAAGTCATTTTTGTCCTGTTCTTTTTGTCGGTTTTTTTTTTGTTTGGTCAAAAATACCAGTTGGTTGTTGTTATTAAACTTTGCATTTCTTCTGGGCTGTTAACATTTTATATCATCAGTATTGTTGAGAAAAAAGTCAATTTTTTTTTTATTGAAATGATACAGATTATGTAGAATTTGGTATTTTATAAGAATAACTGTTGTTCTGTCAAATTTCATGTCGTTTTCCCACTTTTATTGTTTTTTTTTAAATATGTTTTTGTGGCCGAGGTATAATATTTTTTTTTGCAGAATTACTGTATAACATTTTAAAAATAAACAGTTAAAATTAAGGCAACTTGTATGGCATTATCATAGTTACCAAGTTTAAAGATGCACATAATGGCTGACTACTTGCAGTAAACTTCGGTCACGTTTATTAATCAGATGAATAAAATTAATGATAAATTTAATAAAAATAAGATTTAAAATTTGAAATTATATCAAAATAGTCCAAGTTATTTACAACAATTTTTTTTTTCTGAAATCATTTCTTTAAAAAGATTCATGGTTTACAGTAATAAGCAACAAAATTTGTTGTTTATTGGTCAAATGATTGGCAATATTTTTTGCAAACAAAGTGTTAGTAATCAGACAGACGTTAGTGTGGACTGAAAGACGAGTATACGATAAAAAATGAGATCGACAATGTTCATTCATATATCAGGTATCGATGATGACGATGATCAATTGAGCAACAAGTTTCTTTTTGGGTGTACGACATTGACATAGGAACAGTTTGGTGGATGTCAAGACGACAGTTTGCAACAATTAAAACTGGCAGATTCTGACAGGTTTTAAGGCACTAGAAAAATTTGTAGTTATGTGTTGCTAACATCTTGGAAGAACAATAAAATCGATCTCTGGAGGGTTCTCTCTTCAACTATATTTCAGCACGTGAACAGATGAATTCATGTCGTCACAGATCGACTTCGAACCTCTACACAATTACCCACAAACAACCGCCACAACCACTGTACCACGCGCATACTAGTGCGCGTTTTTCAAAAACGACTAATTACTATACGTATATCAAAGATGCGAGTATAATTTAGGTTTAAATAAGTTATATAAAGATTAAACGTTTAAAAAGCTTTTTAAATGATATAACAGTTTTTTAATCTTTATTAGCTTTTTTTTCGTACTGTAAAAATGACTTTTTCTTATAAAAAAAGAAACAGTTCTTACAAAAGTTTGTTTATTTTTAAAGCGATGTAAAAAAAGGATTATCCACGTATACCAATATTTATAATTTGACAAAAAAATTTTGCAAATTCATCAATTTGTTAAGCTGTTAACAAGCGACAGCAGTAAAACTATTTAAAAGGCAATTATATCTGTTTATACAGAAAAAAAAAAAAAAAAAAAAAGGAATTTTCTCGTTTTTTAAATACCCTTCTTTTGGCTGCAATTTTACTTTTTTATTGATGGCATTTTTGTTGTTGTCAAAGAACTTGTCAAACATAAATAAAAAGTACAACAATAATTGTCAAGAAAAAAATTTTTTTTTGTTATAAATATTGGTGGTACAATAGGTACCAATTCAGGAAGATGTAAAAAAAAAACTTGGACAACAAAAGTTCTTTTTTTATTACCTGGAAAAAAGTCGCAATAATGTATACAATTTATACTGTTGTAAACTCTAAGT